GCGTCGCCCCCGCCTGACAGCCGAGAGATGAGAGGTGAAGCGGGGAGGGGGGGCGGTGCCGTTTCGGGAGGGCTCCCGGTGCCCGGCGGTACCCGTAACGCATCCCCAGCTGTGACAGGCAGGGCCTAGTCCTGCCTCTTGCCTGAGGAGAAGCTCGAGAGGCTGATGCTGGGAAGAACTGGCGATGATGAAGCCCGGCACCGTGACAGTGGGTGACTCCGGCAGCCTCGATTAAGCAGGTCTTTGAAGCAAAGTTCTGGGTAATGAGTTATCAGTGTCCTAAATGATGCTCCTGAGGCTCCAGCCCTTAGGTTGTTGCGGGGAATATAAAGGACAGCTTTGCTCAGTCTTGTGTGTTTTCAACAGAGGGACATCTCCGCTGTTGAGAGGGGAGATCAGTGGATGCAGAGATGAAGAAGGAGTTAGGCATCATAGGAGAAAACCTTAAGTCGCAGTCGCTAATCAGGGTGCCCCCTGGGCTGATCTTAAGCGTTTCTGCGGAAGTGTGGATAACAGAATTATGGACCAATAAACTCTGTGACTGCCAAATAAACCTGCACGTGAGCAAGCACGTGAAAATACCTGTCATTCTGCTCTTTCACGCAAATAACTTTGCAGTCACACAGATCAGTGCACACTGTTGGCTAATGGATAAAAATCCTTTAAAACATAAATTACTCTTAGCAATTTGGGAAGCTGAACTCGGTGTTACTATAGATGACTAAAGAAAATCTCTGCTCAACTTTCAGCTGTGGTTCGTGACAAAGTAGTGTAATGTTCTCATTGACTGCAGCACTGAGAACATCATTTGTGGGGAGAAAATTACACGTGTCTTGAGAAAGCTAGAAAGACTTGCGAAGGAACAGCAAGAAGAAGATTTTAGGTTCTTTGTATCTTCATTTCTGTGGTAAAAGGAGTTCATTAACCAACAAGCAGGTGGTGCCTCATGAAAAGAAAGTAGGAAAGTAAAAGAAGGGGAGAAAATGTTTGCTAACACGACATGCGATTACCTTCTTACGTTTCTGTCCGTAGGACATAATTTTAGCCAAGAAACCAGTAAGATGTTATAAGAAAACTGCCTTTAAACGCATGGGTAAGATGTAAGAAGAATAACTAATGCAAATTTGTGTTCCTGGTTTTGAGGCAGCGGTAAGGTACTGCGCTGGATGGATCACAACTCTCGGCCAGTATGGCAATTCGTGTGTTTCTAACAGCCCGGACTAGGCAATCTGTAATCTAGAGGAGTGATCCCCGACTGGTGAGCCATGCGTTATTGGTGAGGCCTCAAACTGGGCTTTGGTGAATAAAGCTTCCACATTAACTAGTTTAGACCCTTGCTGAGGCTGCTGGAGCTGGAAATGGGAGTGATGAATGAGCGAAGGGCATTGCTGGAGCTGGAAAGAGCACTGATGAAAAGGAGTGCTTCCCCGGCCCTTCCTCTCCTGCACATATCGGCTGCTTGTCATCCAAGCAGCGCGTGATGAGAACTGCAAGGAGGGAGGACAGCGGTTCAGCTCAGGACGCAGCGGCAGGTAGGTGGGGCCCGGGAGGTTTGAAAGGTCTCGGGAGGCAGCATCATCGAGAGTGGGGAGATGAGGAGATGGAAGCAGAAATAGAGAAGGAAAAGGCAGTTAGCAACCAGAGTTAGAAAAGTTGAAAAATCTGCCTTGCAGGGATGGTAAAGCCCTTTTTGGTTTGCTTCAGAACTCTCAGAACAAGAGAGTAAAAATTCTTTGGCTTTTGGAACATGTTGCAGATGTTAAGCCAAGGTTCTCCTGTGTCTTGGTGAAAGGGCCTTTTTTTATGGGAGGCTTTTGAGTATGTAAACAGGAGGTCATACTTCATACATATTAAAGAAAATCAGTGGAATTCCGGATAAATAAATATTTCTTTACTTCTTAGATATCCAGATTGTTACAAAAGGATGCAGAGCAGGAGTCCCAGATGAGAGCTGAAATTCAGAACATGAAGCAAGAACTCTCAACCATTAGTATGATGGATGAGTTTGCTAGATACGCCCGTCTGGAAAGAAAGATTAACAAAATGACTGACAAGCTTAAAACTCACGGTACGGTGCAATGTTTACTCCCTTTTCTAGTTTCTGAAAAATGTTTTGTCAAGAATGTTTTCAATTTTAAGTATATTTCTCCTTCAGCTTTTTTCTTCCCCCTCTTATCCATTTCCTTCTTTTTTTCTTTCTGTCTTTTTTTTCTTTAAACTTTTTTGAGAGCTTGCTTTTGTCTTTCAGTTGTGCATAGTTCTGCATACACTGATAAGGGAGTGATGTAGATGTAAAATTTTTCTTACAAAGAATTTCCTGGGCTTCAGTGTGTAATTATTTACTCTTTCTCAGTGATGCTCATCACTGAACCATGTTTTGAATAAGCCGAGGAAGTCCTCTGCTGCCTATCTTCACTGCAAAAGGATGCACTGCTTGGTTGGGGCTATTTGGGTGGTGTGCTACAAAATGCTAGAGAGAAAAAACGTTGGCCTGTAAGGTGGCCAGATGAGATCTCTCCTCTCATTTTGCAGTCCTGTTTGATCTTACGCAGCAGCTTTTGCGATAGAGCTGTAGTGCTTTGCCTCGATTAGGATTTTACGGTAGCGTAGTCCATCATCTTGTGGTAGAAAGTACGCGTAAGCCTTTGGCACCGGAGCTTTTGCTCTTGTCTTTGCCCAAACTCACTAACTGATCCTAACAGGATAGGAGACTACTTGCTTTGTCCGCTTCCTCTGTGCGGAATGGATGGATGTTTATAGGCTCCTTGCTTGGAGAAAGGACAATATTTACAACTGGCAGGTTTGGATTGCTTTCAGTAGTATTATTCTTAACCCAATAATTGCAATTAAACTAGATTTGAGTGGTTTGCTTAGCAACCAACAACGTTGTTTTAGAAAACTTGAGGCCACCGTTACGTTTGAAGATGTGCTGTCTTCGCCGGGCTTCTTTATATTGCTCTGAGGTGCTGGAACAGAACTAAAACAGGCATGAGAAGTTTGAATACTGAACCTGACCAAGGTTCCTTCAGTGAAGGAATAGGCTTAACCTTGTTCCTGAATGAAGTAAGGCAAAAAGTACATCTGCTAAAGCCGTCATTCTCCCCTTTTAGGAAAGGGAAAAATTTACTTTACGCTTCATCTGAAGCAGGTTCTTAAATTAGTAGCCACGGTGACTGTTCTCATTTGGGCATAGTGCTCTTGATTATGCGTGACATTTCTTTGTCTAGGATATCAGCGTTTTGCAACTTTTCATAGTAGCATTAATAGGAAACTATGGTGTGGTACGGACCTAGCATTTTCTTGCAGAAGGGTACTTTCAATATAGCTATGAGTCATTTGAAAAGAGATTTTTAAACAGTGTAATGGCCTGATTTGAAGAGTGAAATATTAATACGTTAATAGTTTTATGTAAGTGTAATTCACTATTATAAATAATGCAGTGATTTTTTTTTTTAACAGTGAAAGCACGAACTGCCCAATTAGCCAAAATAAAGTGGGTTATAAATATCGTGTTCTACATCTTACAAGTAAGTAAATATTTTATTATGAATACAAATTACTAAACCAAATCCTCAGTAGTGTTACAATTCTCTCCTGCATTTATTGGCTGATGGTGAGTCACACAGGTGTTTGATATTCCAATGACATAGCGCATGCCAAACTGAAACAGTTTCTTGAAATAGAAGGGAGAGATGTTGCTGGTAAGGTCTGGTAGTTGTGGGTGGAAGGAGTTTTGAGTTTTCATTTTAGCTATGTGTTTCTGGTTTTGAGATGACAAGATAGGAGTTTGTCTTGGCTCTTTCATCACTGTTTTGGTTTGTTGGTTTTTTTTTTTTTTTTTCATTTATATATGGCACCGGACCCAGGAAAGTTCTGATACCTGTAAATATATTTTGCTTATGTTTTTGAAAACAAAATGTGCTTTTGATGAGGATGCAAATCTCCACTTACAGCTGCCACACATTTTGCTACGGTGCCTCATCAGATTGTCTCTGTAGTTCAGACTTGATGCCAAAGAACTGTCTGCTAATAAGGATGACAGTGGTTAAGCTGGAGATGTCTTTAGGGTAATGTTAAAGCTGGTTGGATTCCTAGCAGGCAAGGATTATGGCTAAAAACCGTCATCAGAACTTAACAGTTACTATCACTATGTTTGTCTGTGATAGACTGGAACCAGGGTCTCAAAAGAAAGCAGTATTTTCCAGCGTCTCACTGCTACCTCTTAATACTGTGTATAAAGTTAAGATCATACTAAGTTTAAAAATATGTAAACCAATGTAAAATAACAAAGAAACTATTCTCTTTAATTAGAATTTGTGATTTACTGCTTCAAAATAGTGGTGGAAATGTACTTTGATGTGTATTATTATCCAAGCTAACAAAAATTTCAATTCTAGGCTGCCTTGATGATCTCTCTCATTTGGAAGTACTATTCTGAGCCCGTTACAGTGCTTCCAAGCAAATGGCTCGCTCCGCTGGAGCGCTTGGTAGCCTTTCCTACGGGGGTGGCAGGTAAGAACTGTACAGTAGAAAAAATACATTTCCCGAGCCCGTGTGGATGCTGACAATGTAGTGATGAAGAGCACACACAGATTAGAAGCACTGCTTCTGTACGTTTCTTCGAACTCCCGTAATGCAGGGAGGAGTTTCAGACATTTGATCAGCTGTTTCCTATGTAGTCAATGAAATGGCCTATTTGACATTTTTATTTCTTCTCAAACAGTGCAGCTTTATCTTAGTATGAAATAGACCCTGGAGAAGGTTTCGAATCGGAAATATTTTTATATTAAGGAGTCCACTGAAATAGTAGAGTTGGGTTTAAAAACGGGCAAATACTTCATAGGTCTGTATCGCTTACGTGTGTTTCTTATAAACTGCTGGGGTTTCATAGTAGTGTAACTCCAGAACGATTTAGGTATGCTCCCTCTTGCCATTTTGTCTTGTCCGTTCCCAGCCTTTTTCCCATCGCGCTCCTGTTGCATTTTTACCTACTTAAATCCTTCTCTTTTGCGCAGTTTAACGAATTAATGATCAGAACGGTATCACAGGTTGTAGATAGCTGTTTCTGAGTGAAAAGCGTGCTGGTTCTATGCTAACGGGGTAAGTAGACAGGCAGAATGCCAGGACAATGTAGTGTGGAAATTTGCCATCGAGCTAAAATGCTGCCGGTGAATCTTCATGTCAGGCTAGTAAGTCCCAACTGCCTTAGAAGGAATTCCAAAATATGTTGTTGGAATTGTATGTTGTTGTCTCTTTAATAGCTGGCTAGAGAATGATTTGTATCCCACAAGCTTACTGGACCGGAGAGGAGCCTGCTTCTGTGCAGGGTGGGGGAATAGTCCTTGGAAGACATTTATTTAAATAGCATTTGAAGGGATTTAAAAAGGTTGACATCCATGTCTGCCTTCAAATCTCCTTTTTTGTCTTGGCTGATAGTCAGAGTAAAGAGATCGCTTTTGAATTCTAGGTGATAAACACAAAAAAGTCTAAAAATCACCAAAAAGGTAGTTTCTTCACGTGTGTGCTATGAATAGCTATGTATTCTGTGATACTATGTAGCATGATTCTATATAGTCTGCAATATGGATGTGCTGTATATTGCAGTCAGGGCACACCCTCTATTCTATCATACCAATGCAAATTTCTGTGCTGCTAGTTTGAATGACGGGACCCTTTAGAACAGCAGTGCAAGGCGTCTGGGTCAGTAGCGAAGGTCTCAGTAGAGTTTTCCTGTATAGCTGTATGGGGAGCAAGGGGAAAGGAGAGAAGTGTGGACTTAATACTTTTTAAAAGACTAATTTAAATTTCGGAGGAAATTTACTTTTTACCTATCTCAAATCTTGAATTTAGGTTCTAGCAAAGTATTCTGTTGCTTGCCATGCCTTAGACATTTTCTATTAGGTCACAGCAAATGTTTTTAGAAGCTGTGGGTTGTATATACCGCACTTTGGCTCACATTCATGTTATTTGGTGCTCTTTTCCCCAGACAATCTTCAGGTTTTCTCGGGACCAGCATGGAGTTAGCTGCCATCCCTTGAATGCATTTGTATCTAAAAAGAAAGATGTTTTGTTCCTGTTCACCTCATAACTCTTAAGTTTCATTTTTTTACACTTCCAAAGTTGTTTTCAGAAGCTTGTGTTCTTCAGGGTTCTTGACGCCATGACTGAAACTGTGTTTTTTTTTATCTCTTTCAGGTGGTGTTGGAATTACATGTTGGCTTGTGGTTTGTAATAAAGTTGTAGCTATCATGCTACACCCTTTCAGCTGAAGGAATCCCAGTAATCCATGGAGTCCTCAACTACATTTTCATTATCACTGTTTTAAATGAATTTAAAAAAAAAAAAAAAAGGGAACAGTTGTCTTCCATGAGACTAGGTCTCAGATAATCTCTTTGTTACTTCATTTGGATATCAGTCAGTATTCCTTTCGATTTATTTAACGTTTCCTTAGTTTTTCAGTTTGGTGGTCAGTTTTCAAAGAATAGCATTGCTGTTTATGGAACCTCGTGTCTATTTCGACAAGTATGAACACTGATTCATGGCAGAACCATAAGACTTTGTCATGGCATATATTCACCAAAACCTAAAAGTGCTGGATTTATCTTTTTAAGTTGGAAAGGCACTGGCATTAGGAATTAATTTGGGAGCTTTGCTGTTTCTTTGCTGCATAATATGGCAGTTTCGCCCAAAGGTGGGATTATATTTGGTGTCAAGTGGTACTAGAGGATAGAGGTAGGTGGTTTGGTTGGCCTAGCATAAAACAGAATTAGTTTCCTCCTTGTTACGTTTTACACTAGAACTGGTGTGTTCTTGGGCTGTCTTAGAAAATGTGTTATTGATATATATGCAGAATCAACCCTTAAGAGACTCACTCAGTTGCCGAGTAGAGGATGGCTGGCTACTTTTTCCTCCCTGACTTAAAATTCATCGAACGCTTGAATTTTTTCCTACTTTTATTGATAACTGACCTTTCCTTCCTTGACAGTTTTTGCGCTTCCCAAACTGAGTGAGGATCACTGAAACTATTTCCTTCCGTGTTTTGGGAGGGAAGGTCTGGCCAACCTTCTCAAGCTCCATGTTAAGAAAGAGAAAGTAGGGAACAGCGCTGTTCCTTCGGAGGAGTACATTTCTAAGGGCTTTAGCATATATTAATGACAGTCCAGGATAGCCCTTAACAGCTATGTAAATGTAAAACGGCAAATCAGTGATTTAAATGTCTGAAGTAGTAACAGAACGGTAGCAAGCAGAGGGAGGAGGGAAAACAATTTTCTCTTTTGGAGTAAATCCTTCTTGCTGTATTTAGGTACAGGAAACAGCCACAATATTTTGAAAGTAAAGGCGGACAGAATTCTTCCTAGGATCGTGCCTGTAGAACAGCGACAGAGTTGTGTTCTCTTCATGCTACAGTGGTATCTGCAACCCTGCCATTCCTGCCCCATAAGACAAATAGGTGGTTTATAAAGTTCTTGTTCCACACCTCCTCTGTTTTGGGTTTTTCTTTTTGACACGAACCTGAACAAAGCTCTAGGGGACACCTTTCCCTCTTCTGCTGGGCTTTGGCAGTTCTGGTTCAGCTTCCCACGCTGTACAGCAGAATGCATCTGTTACGTTATTTCAGGTCCTTTGCCTCCCTGCAGGAAGAGGCTAGAGCCCCTCCATAATTAGCGCTGCCTTTAGAAATTAGTTCAAAAGGTCATGATGCATCACGCGCGCGTGTGTATATATGCATGAAATGTTTTTGGTTTTTTTTTTAAATGTTAAATCTAAAAAAGAATTGGTTTTATATTAGGGATTACATTTAGCCAACATGAAAATAGATGCATTAAATATCATCAAGAAAAAAGATGTTGTGGTTGAATGTTAGGTATAGTTGTGTTTTTATTAACGAAATAAAGCTTTTCAACCCATCTCAAGTTTTCTAATCCATTTTTCAATGTTAATTACAGTTTTCCTAAAAAAAAAAAAAAACAAACCCAAAACCACAAACAAACCTGAAAACCCAAACCAACAACACCCTCCCCATGTTCTTGCATAAGGAGATACTGTTGGAATCAACAGGCCTAATTTATTATTTCTTTGAAGCATTCAGGACAGATTATTTAACTATGACATTGACGTATTTCTGAATCTAAAGAGGTGGCTAATGGTATTTCTACTTAGCTTGTTGCGGAGTTTAACACAGTGAAGTCAAGGAAAGCAGCAGCATTTAAAATCCTCCCAGCGGCATTTGCTGTTTATCCAGACTTAGCATGGGGTCACCAAAGGCGCGGTTTGTTGGCTGCTGTGGTCAAACACTTGGGTGAGTGAGGGCAAAAAGGCTTTTGGTCATCTAGTCAGTACAAGCAGGAGCGTTGGATTACGTGTGCTTGTTTGCTCTTAGCTTTGGGACAGCAGTAAAGGCACCGTGGAAGTAGGAATAGTTCGTAGAAGAGAACACCTACCCTTCTGACTACACAAAGTCATTCTTGGAAACCTGCCCGCTGCAGAGCTCAAGCACTGCTTCAAGAAAAACCTTTGAAATTTTGAAAAGAAGTATGCCGCAAGTAGGTTCGGATCTAAATGTCTTAATCACCTTTTGCGGTACAGTTTTTTGAAGTTTTGTTTTGTTTTTTGTTTTTTTTAAGTGCTACTGTCTTTTAAAATTAATAGAATACACACAGTTTTGCCTAACTTCACATTTTAGCAAACGTTTCATGAATTACTATGAGGAACAAAACATAATCCTCCTACCCTCGCTTACATAACCTTAAACACAGGATTTTTAAAGGCTTTTTGAGAACTGGATATGCCTGACTTCTCCAAAACAATGGTTTACTCTTGCACATTCATCTTTGGATGTCAGCTGTGGAAGTTACCAGGCACGCTGCTTTGATAAGTTCTAACAGTGGAAAAGAATGAAGCTTTAGAGCTTTATAATGCTAGTGAAAACAATCTAATAGCAAGTTATTTTTATTATGTGTGAATTCTGGAAGCTATTTCAGGAGTGAAGAAAATAAAAAATTATTTTCTTTTATTGCATTGTTGGTACTAACCCAATAATGAACCTTATGAAAGCAGATTGCTCACTTCAGCTAGCTAACAAATAATCATCAGCTTCAAAACTCAAACTGCAGAGAGAATGCAAAAAAACTGGAAATTACAAAACAAGGACTAACTTGAACACCTGATAGCAGGTAAAAATGTCGTAGTTGTTAAGGCACCTTACTAAGATGCATATGCGTGCACATGCACGCACACAGACCAGGAACAGAGGAATGTTCTTTTGTGACAGCGGATTTGACTATCATTTTGGAAAAATCTTCAAAAGAAATTCTCGGTACTTGTAAGATTTAATGTGCATTTAATGATGGTAAAACCATTGTTTTTAAAAAAACGTTTTAAATGATCCATACTTCTAGAGTAAAGGTAAGTTGATGTACTTAACCTACTACCAAACAAAATAATTAGTTTGTGTATTCTCATGACGATTTCATTGGTGTTAGAGGCTTTACGTTATGAACTGGTTAGTAGTGGTTTGAAATTCGGCTTGGGTAATCCTGCACCCTTTCACTTCTCCATTCCTCTCATGTTGGAACTTGAATGGTTGTCTCTTCAAACACAGCCTGGTCCAAAGAGTTCTTTCATAAGACTGTTTTTCCTGTCAGCGAATGTCCTGTGGGCGCAGCCTTCCGCTTCAGTGGAACTGTCCTTCCACCCTGTTTTGGTAACTTTACCAAAAGATGGTTCGTATCGCCCAAAGGAATTTTTCACTTTTGATCCAGCTGTTTCACCGCACTCCTGACCTGCATGTCTGTGGCTCCAAAGACTGCCTTTTTTGGATTTTGTACCTGATGTAGGAAGCCCGTGGTGCAAATTCTCAGTAGCTTCTGAGAATATGTATTTTTTTTTCAGCCTAATGAGCATTTTGTTCCTTGGACCTGGAGTTACATGTTTGCTCTCTGCCTTCTCACTGTTATTTAGCTGTTCATCTGGCTTTTTTCCTTCTCTCTCATATTCTTCCACTGCATCTTCCTCTTCACTGCTCTCTTTTACACTGTCACTTAGAGGAGTCTGTTCAGTTTTCATCAGTTTTTTCAGCTCCCGTTCAAGCAAACCTGTCTCTTCTTTGTCTTCTTTCATAAATTCCAAGCAAGTGTATTCTTCCATCAGTAGTCTGCCCTCCCTTAAATACTCTAAAATGAAATATTGTGGGTTTTAGGAATGTTCTTAAATAGCCTAGGAACGTAAAGAGTCACGAAGCATTAATGAGAACAAGTTTTACTTCCTTATTTCATTGCTTAAGTTGTTGTTATTGACGGTATTTCAGTCTTGAGGGTTATGACAATGCTATTTACTAATAAATATAACAGGAGAGGGCAAGATGTTTTTAAACATGATCGTTGTGCCATTGAATCCAGGTAAATATCTTTATTTTTACCTTTTTCATTATGTTTAATTTTATTAAATGAATTGGCACGCAAATATAATCAGTAATGGCTAATATAGGGCCAGAAAAGTCACGTACAATGCAACAGAGAAACCACATGAGATCTAAACTCTAGTTGTAATTTTCTTGCTTTTAAATGGAACCTAAATATATGTATGATTTTCTCTCCCTTAATTGACAACACAGTTGCTTGTAGCGTGGAGCAGAATATACTGCAAGTCTCTAACCTATAAATGAGTTGGCTCCACTTTTTAGTAGAAAAAGGTATGTGTATGCTGAATGCCTACAGTAAATGCGTTTGTCTGCCGCAGGGGACAAATTACACTAGGTTCTGTGCTTTGGAGAGACTTAGAGTGCCGCCAAAATGAGATAGAGTCCAAGCTTAACAGAGAAGCATGAAGTTGCAATTATTAAAATAGCTAAATAAGACTTCCGTAAGTCAGTCTAATATCGGCAGTGGGAGAGAGCCAGAAGAGAGTCTGGCAAACAGTGAGGAGAGAGATTCACAGGCAGAATCAGAAGACCTGTGTTTTCTGTCAATTTTAAAAGGGGATTTCAAAGACAAATGCTGACTTCAGTTAACTGGTGGGGTCTGGAAAGGCTGCAGGCCGAAAAGGCGGAGTACAAAATACGGGCATTAACGCGTTCCAGATTACTAGCTCTGTAACTGATCTAGTAAGTGACCTCAACAATCTGTTTCACCTCTGTAAATGCGCGACCTTTAGGTCACGTACTGTCTCCTACCATTTGTGAAGTACTTAGCATGATGGCGTTCAGATCTTGGTTCTTTCTACAGGCCTCACTATGATGAAAATAACACGGGTATTTTTAGAAAGAAAAACTCAGATAAAGGAATAGATGCATTGGTTTCTTCTGTTCTATAGAATCTCTGCAAAATACAGGCGTTCATAGATGAGTCCCTTGCATATAACTGTTATATGAGAACACAATTAATGGCTAAGACTTACATAAAATCTATTTACAGTGATCACTGTAATGAGGAGATACTCCCAGCCCCTGAAGAAGTCCTTTTCCTTTCTCAGCAATAGATCCTGAGCCAGAAACATATGTTGACATCGGCTACGATGAAGATTCACAACCAACAATTTGAGATCGGTATTTGATTAGTGTGGAATTAACACGCTATTAATTGCAGCACACTTTTACAGATAAAGCACTGACTTCTTACCAACGTGACCAGGAACTCCTTTTAGAAGTGCAGCAGTCTGAAGATGCCTTGTACCGCGGAGCTGCTCAGCTGCCCGTGCAGCACCGCCAGCAGCTGGATTTCAGTGACGCTTAATATATTATTTTGTTGAACTAGTTCCTGTCAGTCAGGTGCCAGCTAATGGCTGTCAGACCCATGTAAATTACCAATACCATCGGTTCATTCAACTTCTGCAAAGATCAAATGAGTTTCTGAGAAAAATGTTAAAGTATACCTCTACGTGTTCTATTAAAAGTTTCTGGCTTTGGTATTTTCTCGGTTGATTGCCTTTCTGTTCTACATTGGGCATCTGTGTATGCTTTGTTTGCTTTTGCTTTTTGATTCTTATCTTCGGAAGACTTTTCCTCCTATAATTGGCAATTAAAGGTAAAAATAATGAGGGAATACTTGTTTAGTGACTTTTAAACATACACAGTCAGTACAATACTTATAAAAAGATTAGTAATTTCTATTACTGTTATATTCTTATTTTGTATCACAACGTTTGTCCTACATATTTTCTGTAATACAGTTACATTCACACAAAATCCACATCCTACAAAGTTACGATGACGGATCAGGCTATTCAGGCATATTACTGAAACTTACGGAATAACATACAGCTTAGTTGGGAGCTGAAACAAGGGATTGGATCCAGATCTTTCATACCTTTGTTAGCCGAACTGGACTTTTTTCTGTTTCCTGAGTTTGGTACTCTGACAGCAGCAGTGATCTAAAACTCTGTTTATCTACTTGGACTGATCTGTTTATACTAAGACCTATTGAAAAAGGACAATCATTAGTAATACAGTAGTTTCTGGAATTGTACTGTTGTTATAAACAAAAGATATCTCTGATGACTGATCATACTGGTATGTGGCCTAGGATTGAAACATTTTTTTGCCGCATGTCTTAATGCCCTTTAATAAAGAAATTCTTTGTTCTGCCTGATCTATAAATGCTGAAACTGGAACACAAACATAGCTACCCGGACTTTTAAGCGTTTTCATCTGTACATCAGTACATCGTAAATATACTTAAGTTTTAGGTCTACGAAGTCCTGTTCAGATAGAACATGCGAAGTCAGACAAATGTGTCTGTACCCTAGAGCCCATGTGGCCTTAATTTGTGTGGTAACATTCTAATGTAAATTTAAGAGGTCTGGTATGAGGCCTCAGCTTTCAGGTTCCTAAATTCGGATCCTACAGATCCTAATAAACATGCTTGCTTTTATGCCTTCTGACTTGGCTACTCACCTTTCTCAAAGTTAAGCGCTTAGGTAAGGCTTTGTGGAAGCAAACTCTTCAGAGGCAATGCTTAACACCATTTGAAACATCTATGGTCTTTGAAAAGAGATTCCAAGGGAGTGACTGAATGAGACATTTAAAGAAACAGCTGAATGGCGATGGGATGGGGAAGGTATATTGTTCTTTCATTCCATTTTTAGACTAATTTTGACATGAGTACAGTAGCTGAGAAAGTTGCTAGCACAGCAGCAAAAATGTGATCTTACCTACATGAACATTCGACCTCATTCCCAGTTTTGATCTCTGAAATCAGAGGAAGACTATCCATAAAAACGGTGATTTTCAAATGTTTGCAGTTTGGTGGTAAAAAGGATGTTGATAACTAATTTGAGGATTACTCTTGAGGGCGTGGCCCTGATGATGTGGCGGGAGTTCGTTTCCCCTTTTGAGAGGGAACCAGCAAGTAGTTACTCCCGCAGCTTTTCCAGCAGAGCTCAGCGGCGCGTTCCTCAGACTCAGGACTAGGGGGAGCTGTACCTCCAGATGAGCCCGTGTGATCGTCCCACAGCTGAGCCAACTGCGCTCTCCTGGAGAGCTTACGAAATCAACGGCTTCATTCAAGAAACCAATTTTATTTATGTACACAGAGCTTTCTGATAACCTAAGCAAGCCTACCTTCAGCTATTTATCAGGAGCGTTAAAAAATGCAGCCCCACCTTTCCTTTTTTCTTTCCGGCCGGGGAAAAATTTTTGCAAACGCAGAATAGAAAGTAACTACTTGAAGCAGTAGGTCTTTCTAAGTCTGTTATAGGAAGATTCAAGTCAATAGTGAAAAGGAAAAACAATTGTCAGTAATTCCAGCTCTAGATTTCTAAATCATCTGTTTCCATTATCTGGCAGAGAATGAAACCTTTATTGGCCAAAAATACCGAAAGATCAGAGAACTTTGCTTGGGACCTTTTCATTACAAAATACCAGGTCTCTCTCCGACTAAGCTCCCTTATCCTGCCTAAAGAAAAGAAGAATTTAAATAGTGAACAGTGATTTAAGTACTGTAATTTAAATAACAATATTGCACAAATGTAAGTAAAATAAAAAACCCACAGCTGGCTAGGTGATGTAACTAAAATTGGAATTCAGATCTTCATAAAAAAACAGGTCTGACTTGGAATGAGAAGTAGGAATTTGTGTTTCTTAATTTTACAGCTTGAATTACTAACCTTTTCCCTGTAGTTCACTTGTAGTTAGGGCAGAGTAATGGATTTGTAAAGGCAACGAAGAGGAAAGAAATAAGCAACTGACTATGAGTTTGTACTCATAGTACTCAGTTTGTACTGATACCGTAATTTGAAGATTTCTGTGGGCATGTGCAATATTTCCAGCAAGTACGTTTGCTACCATGTAAATTTTAAGTGCGCTTCTGTACCCGTACGAAGAAAGTTCCAATTCCTCCTTCAGTTTAGGAGCAGGAGTATCTGACCAGTATTTTAAAGAGATACTTAACCCAGGAAGGTCAATGTTCAGCTCATTATCCAAAATTAAGGGTGTAAGTTTGTTGTGCAGAAAGCTCTCCTTTAGAATACTGACAGAATGTTTATAATCCCGAGTAGGAGGCAAAATATTACTTTCAATGTGGGGAAAGTACTTGAAATCTGTTTATTAGTTTCTGTATAAAACACATTTATTAGTAAATTCTAGATACTACATCTAAAGCGCCTGACAATTAGAAATTTATAAGTGCTTCAAGAAAACTGTCTTCAACATTTTTGTCCCTGACAAATACAGTGAGCACATGGGCCACATAACCGTCCTCGGCTTGTATGATTTGTCATCGTTTTTAGCTGTTGCTCCCTCAGTTCAAGGGGTGGGATCCACTTGTCTGAACACAGGCGCCTAATGCTATTTGAGATGCCCTCTAGCATTCAAGGTATCCACATAAGGCTGGCCGGTATTACACAGGACGATGGGACAGCCATGTCCTTCTGGAACAACGACGACAGGGCCAGGCAGAATGTGCTAGGGTATCTCAGATGGCACTGGATGCCTATAATTAGGCAGCTGAATGCCACACAAGGTAGCTGCTCTTGGAACGGTTGACAGACAAGATTGCATATAATAGATATTTCTCTCTGATACCTGTCTGAGCATCCATGTGACAGAAATAGTCTTTACTAAAGAGCTCTCTTCCTTCCTTGATAGAATTACCTTTCTATTGTTCTTTTCTAGCATTCTACTATATTATTCTAAATAACATCAATTCTGTGAATAGAATTAATTGAGAGGATATATGATAACTGGGCTATTACGATCTCTGGTTGCCCATTTAAATTTACTTACGCTAAAAACCAAAGGACTACTAAGGATAAACATTCTCTTCTCTCAGGTAAGCTGACAGTATGATCATCAGACTGGCCTTTAAACTTCCTAAACCTTGTATCGGAAAACTCCTCCTCTCCTTCCACCCCAACAAAATGCCAATTGCAGAAGCTTCAATAATGGACATTGAAGCATCTCTGCTATCTATAAGTTACGGGGTCTAAGGATTTTAAAGATGAGAAAACTGTTTTTAAAGTTTATTCATTAAATTCATTATTCTTGCTCATAGAAAAGCACTTTGAAAGTCTGTACTAAAACTAGGAACTTGCTACAGGAGGGCTGTTTGTGACGGGCTTTGAGTTAAGTGAGCCATGTTGTGGGAATTCTAGGTCTAGGGTGGCCACTTCTCCAGGCCCAGTCAAAGGGAACAGCCCGAACAAAAATTAGTCTGCAAAAGCTTTGTGGACTGATAGCTTCACCTTGTTAAAAGACAAATAGGTAAACAGCTCTTGATGCAAACAGACACTTAAAATAGCAGCACTACTTCAGTGTCACGGTTAGTATAGTAAAACTATGTATGCTAAATGCTATTCATGATGAGATTTGGGTTAAAGATTAAAAACAGGTCATGTATACGTATCCATAAAATAAATGAGCAAAACACCAAGCACTTCTCTTTATATTATATGTGCCAGAATATTTTTAGCCCATATAAAAGTACCATATTGGCTTTTATTTTGGAATATATGTCCCAGTTATAAAACAATTTAAGTTTCACATGATTAAACAACAAAGGAAAATGAATATACACATACTTTTTTCATGAGGTACTGAATTGCCTTTGTCTTTTGGGATTTTCGGCATCCGATTTGCATAGATATTTTTTACATAAAGCTGCCGATCCTTTTCCTAAGAAGAAATAAACACCGTTAAACTTCTAAGATGCATTAAGAATTACTTTTTACCAGCTTAATTTTCCCATATTGGGAGAAAACTGTCAGCAGTTTTGCTTTGTGCCAGGCCATGTGGTGACTTTGTCATTTACATAAATAGGAATCTGTCATTTTCTTTCATGAGCCAAATCAAAGTTCTCCCTTCTTAAGGCTAGGAGCACACCTACATGACCTTTTTCATAACACAATGGTCAAAAGATGAAGTCTTCTCTAAGGATTTTTTCATTCGTTGTTCTTAGTGGTTTTTTTCAGACTAAGTAATTTTTGGCTTTACTTCCTTTTTTTTAATTTTTTTATTTGGTCAGTGCCCTTGGTGACAATGTGTTCAGTTCTGGTTTACAACCTATTGCTTGGGAGAGGACATATAAACTTCAGAGGCACACTTTAAAAATTTATTTAGCAAGAGTCCTCTTTCCTTACTGAAATCTGTCTTAAACACGGAAGAGAGATTTCAGTAACACTCTCACCATATCAATTTTTAGTGTGAAAAATAGGAGCTGCATTTAATTTGGAGATACCGGTTGATCTGAAAGGGAATTGTGTGTCTCAATACCTTGAACGGTCTGACTAAGCCAGGTGCCCAAAACTATGACTGTGTAAAAATAAACTCTGTTCTGGCACAGAAATAAGGTTAATAGGCATGTCTGGTCTTCTTTGTGGTAAAACAACAGAAGGTTTTCTGACTCTAAATATAACATTAAGAGAACTGGACACACATAGAAAACTGTGGAAAACACAAAATAGAAATATTTTGGAGAAGTGTTAAGGTGAGAACTGTACTTTAGAATAATTTGCATTTTGGAACAGTTTTGCATTAGTGTTCCTGGGACTATAATTATTCCCATCTCCCAGATCTGCACATATAGGAGGAGAAGGGGCTCTGGCAGGGAAATAGCACTGCAAGTGCTGCTCGGGGGTCTTTGACACAGGGCCCCGGAAGAGCACTCTACTTTTTCCCTTTCCCAACAGCTCGCTGGGCTTTTGCAGCTGGGCAGCCTGGCTGCTGCCAAATATGAGGAGGAAAGTCTCTGCACCTGATACTTAGGTAAGAGGGACAAACAGTGCCCAGTACAGAAATGCAGATCTCCATGAATCCTCAGTAGTTGCCTGTTCTGCCCTTCACAATGTCTGCTAAAACTCCCCATAACGACATCTTTCACAGACACTTGATTCCATTTAGAAAGAGAAAGCTCCCTAGCGGAATCAACAGATGGATTGGTCACTTCATATAGAAATGAAAAAAAAAGTATATTTTAACTGTGTTACAAACACAGTTTAAATTCTTAAACTTTCTTGTTTACAACTCATATGACATACCATTCATGGCAGTTTTGTTTCTATTTCTATTTAGTGTCACTTTTAGGTTTTCCTGTATGTTTGGTTTACAAGCATTCAGTAAGTGTTGCAAGTGTTGAACCGGACATACTTGTCCTGAAAATATTTGTCTAAACACCAAGCTGGAATTTGAAACAAACTATTGAAACGTTCACGTAAGTCTTTCTGTTAAACTCTAGTTTTGCAGATTGTAATATTTGACTCATTTTGATTTGAAAGTGTTTCTATAAGGGAGCTCTTTTAAAGCTAGTAGATGAATATATTGACCTAGAGCTATCAAAATGGTAACAAGTTGGTGGGGATTCTTTGTACAAATTGTGATGCATTAATCCCTGTTTCGATTAGTTATTGAACTACTTCAAACTTTTGACAAATAGACTCTACAATAATGTAATCATTTTATATTTTGACTCTTTTTGGTAGACTATAGGCTCAGCTAAGAAACAAAAATTCCATTGCTAAATAATATAAAAGAGGCAAAAGGGAATGGGTAACATTAAATATTTGAATCTTCTTGTAGGAACAGAAACCCATTTAAAATCTTGAATACCTTAATTTTTTGGTGAAGAGAGTTAATTTCCATTTGCAAGTTCTTTGTAATTATCCCAGCTTCCACAGCTTTTTTGTTCTCATTTGCCAACTGATGACTAAAGGTGCTATTGTTCAACTTCAGCTGCTTTTCCAGGCTTTTAAAAAAATTATGTATTTTACAATATGAAGGTACTCAGTATGACTGTTGAAAATCTCAGTTCTTACCAGATCTAAAAAATAAGCATGCTAATATAATGAAAAGTAAACTTCTAATAATTATATTCTGTTTTAAACAATGCATGAAATTATGATGAAGTTTCTGAAAAAATACTTTAAAAATGAGGAAAACCTGGTTTAAAACCTAATTTTACTAAACAAAAAAAGTATATTTGGCATTCAAACATGAAAAATGAGGCTGTCCATTACCTTTCTGATGGACTAATGAATGCAATAATCTTTGAGAAATGTTAAGACAACATTTCTGTTCACGCTGAGATCTATTAACTGTGGCAGCATAAGGAGGCTTAGTGTAAATGAAAACTAGGTAATTTATGGAGTACTTTATCAAGTACTTTATCATCAGAACCCAGTGCCATGCACTGAAATTAGTTACTAAAATTGTAAGGTGGACACCCAATCCTGCAAGCTTTTTATAGCTTCTCACCAGGACTTCTGTAAATAGAAAGTTTTCTAAAGAGAGTCTGAATTCAGCTGTTTATATTTTCATTTTCTTTCATGTAATAAATGTACTTCAGACCTAGCTGTTCAGACGGTGAAATGCCTCTAAGATTACCTGGCTCTTTATTTAATTCTATGCATAATGTACCCCATAGAAAATAGAAATTAATTCCTGGAGGAGAATGGAAATTTCACTCTTCCAGTTTCGTGTTAAAAACTGTATTTCTGTCTTTTTGTGAAAGGTTCAATAAGAGTGAAGAAGCATGAGCTATTAAAAGGAGCTGAACTATCTCTTCTTAAACTCCCACCAGGCTTTTACTACAGTTGCATAATAAAACAACAGTAGAACCAACCCTAAAATCTAGGACACCTGACTGCTGCCTAATTCAGCAGCCGCCCTACAGCTGAGTACAGTGAGTGGCAGTAATTAGTGACCCGGAGATGTAGGTATGTCCGTACTGCCCACCAGCACCACGTAAAAATAACAGCGCTAGTTCCAGATAAGCCAGCTTTGGTTGTTCAAGGTAGTAGATCAGCAGCAGCCTGGTGGTCTCCATGTATGACTAATCCTGTGCTTTGCCAGGGTAAATTAGGGTCTGTGCTATTGTGGCTAGATGGCCCAAGCAAGCCTGGGTACCCCATGCTGCTGGCAGGGAGCAGAGTAGATGCTCTGCTGAAGATTGCTCTCCGGCTGTACGCTACGCTTCTGACCTAACAGGGTTAAGGCCTATGACTCAATTCCTAAAAGATCTATATTGCCAAACTTAATCCACTCATACATTTCTGCCAGATTTTAAAATATTGGAAGGGGATACTACTGCCATTTTTAGTACCTTACACTCAGGACAGCTCTGGATTAAAAAGAAAGTTCCATGTTACAGGATTTTATCAGAATCATTAATGTGACGAGAAGCAGCTAAAAACTTTCCACTACTCTTGCACAGAAACCTCCCCTATTATTGTTCCACAAATACAATGATATGCATATATTACCTGTATTCTCTTATTATTCACTTCCATTTTTTCTGTAAGGACTGATAATCTGTGATCAAGTTCCTCACTCTCTGCAAGAGCTTTGTCTTCTGAAAGCATATGCAAGGCCTGCAAAGCATCTTTAGTTTTTAGCAGCTCTGCTTCAACTTTTCTGAGCTTCCTGGATGTGTTTCTCTCGTCCTCCTGAGACATCCTCAGGAGTTTCCTTAAAGCTCTCACCTCATTATAATGACTTGCTAAAAGATCCAGCAAGTTACTTTCTGAATTTTCATATCTACCTATCGCTTTTGAGTGTCGATGCTGAAGCTGTTTCAAAACGTGGTTTTCTAAGCTTGATGCTTCTAGTTTGTGTTGTAAATCAAATATTTCATTCTTCAGCTCTTTAATTTTGTGAAGTCTTGCTGATGATATTCGCTGAGCCACTGCATTTTTTTTCTGGGAAATCATACTACTCTGCAGGCTTAAAAACGAAGAATTCTCACGTGGTATCTTCTCAGCTGGCAATTTTTTTCCTCCTGCATTCAGACCAAAGTAAACTGACATTGATATACAGCAATCATTTGAGACAGCAACATCACTGTGTGCCTTTACTGCTCACATAAGCTCATATACTGCTTATCCAAGCTACTTAACTGTGGTATATTTAATAAAACGCCCAAGATCTATACTAAGACTCCAATGTTCAAGTATTTCGCAGATAAATCCATTGAAGATTTTATATCTCTGCGTGTGCATTTATGTGGCTGCACTGGGCTATAGCTAACTAGGTCTGTAGGAGGTCAAGGTTCCCCCCTTTCAGTCTCTGAAGCCATTTCCATTCGGAACAGCCATCATGCTCACTTTCCATTAATAAGGGTAACTACGTAGGGGGTGTCTTCTGAGGCAAACAGCAATAATACTCTGGGAATAACTTAGTAAAGTATGTTTATGTTAACATGTTACTCCAGTATCAATGGAAACAAATTTTCTCTCTGTAAATCATGCAGTTCACTAATGTAGGCATGATCTGGGGACTGATGAACCAAATTCACCCCATCTAGAAATACTCCCAAGAGGGAGGACCTACACCTTGAACAGGAGCGTGATAAAAAAACCCAACATAGTAATCTATAGGTCTGCACGAACTCAAAAAACAAGGTGCTCACAACAGCACATGGTTAATTTTTTCTGCAGCTAGGATTTCTAACCAGCTTTCTAGAATTTTCAAGTCAGCTTTGAACTGAACTACATTTTTAACCCTTACATGCTTATTAGAACAGTTACGCAGCTGTGTACACTGTTTCTATACAGCAATTGAAAAAAATCTTTATGGGCTAGCATTCTAAGTGTATTACTGCCATTTGCCTTTCTAAAGAAGCATTCTAAGTGAATTACTCTCATTTTCCTTTGCTGAAACATAATTAGAATTTGAAAATAGTCAAGACTGTAAATCTGAGCGTGTTCCCCTTTTTCAGGCATATATTCAATTTCACTATAGCTCTCAAGACATTTCAGGCAGTATTTTGCTAGAAGTTGATTATAATAATTTATAGATCACATAACATTTTATGGATAAAATAGGCAAGGCCCTAACTTAAAAAACACCAGAGGAAAAGAACAGATCTTTTCAAGCACTTCTGTTGAATCCAATGGGTGTTCTGCACACAAACTCTTTACAGGAGCAGGCCCCAACCAGAACACTCCATTGCAGATGGGAGGCAACATCAAATCAGCAGTAGGAAAAGGAAAGGAGGACACTGCTGAGGGCACCACCACGCCATGGCCTCGCTGCTTCCATGACCTAAGCCAGAATAGTGGAAAGCTACAGAAAGAGTGTTATCTAGGAAGACAGAGATGCGTGGGGCAGTCGTTTCAGTGGGGAAATGGCTCTTCCCTGCCGCAGCAGCACCTATTCCTCTCTCTCCCCTTTCCTGCTGGCAGCAGCTGCAACAACCTTCCGGTTCTCCACAGCTTCAGCCCAGCTCTGCTCCTCCCCTTCCCAAGGCAGGGCCTGGAGTCTGGCCTGGGCCCTGACACCCATGCCTGGTGTGCGAGGCAGCAAGTTTGAGGAAAGTATGAAGGGGGTCAGTTACACAAAAAGGTAGACTGATGATAATGGGGTGAAGTTGGAATGGCATGGAGAACAACCACGCTGCCTGTCCTTTGCTCTTACTCCTGAAATACCCGATGTACTCCACCGTTTCAGGATACAAACCAGACGGTCTTTGTTCTGCTGGCTCTGCTGATAGAGGAGAGGAAGCGGGGGCAAGCTGGTAGGACCTCGCTCATACAGAACCACACAAGGAGAATAGACTATCAAATTCAATGTGATAGCAAAAGGAAAGGATAGAAAGAATCTGAGATTAGGAATCAAAAGGGGGAGAGACTGTGATTTGGGCGGGGCAGTTATTTTGTTTACATATGTTTTAAATGGATTAAGACGGACTATCATGGAGGTTCAAGTAAACAGAGAAGAAATTATAGCTGTCAGCTGAGGTCAGACACGTTCAAGACCTTCTGCAGTTAGCAAAATTAACAGGTGCTGTGAAAAAAACTCACCAGAGGTAAAAACCAAAGCAAATGGAAGGTATGCAAGCATCACACCTGCATGTTCTCTGTAATACGATTCCACTGCAGGAAGACTACAATATGACCACAAATGTTGTCACACAAATATTTGCAAAATGAGAACAACCATTACCTTAGTATTTTATTTTGCCAGAATGGAATGAGAGGATGTAAAAGAAATGGGAAAATACCTTCCTGCAAAAGCTGACAAAAATACTGTAAAATCTATACACGTCTACACAGGGTGAAAATGTAGGTTATAATTGTGTTCCTGGGAAACCAATCATTTCAAGTAGCCATGAACAAGCAAAAATAACCACTTAAAATATCCAACACAGCTAGTAGCCAATAACGATTCTTCTGCTAAACAGATTTTAAAAATGTGGTTATTCTTTCTGGTCTGCTAGTTTCATGCCCGTATGACTTCTTCACAGCAGCATATAACTTATATAATAGAAGAGATAATCAGTGGTCCCTCTCTCTTCTTTTGGTTGATTTGCATCTTGTGGATTTGGTAGATCTAGATGAAATTTTGAAGCTTAGCAGGAAAAGGGTCGTTGGTTTTACACTCATTTTTTTGATGTGGTATGGTGGGATTTAAGAAAGTATGGGTCTAGATATGAAAACATGCAGACATGAAAAGATTCTTCACTGTTAACATTTAAGTAAAGGGAATATATTTGTGCTATATGGTCATTCCATTGAAGCACAAACTTAATTTTACATGATACACCATGACTAAGCTGGCCAAAACATGTCTTTTTTGTCAAAACTGACACTTTTGTGCAGACATATAATTTTTGAGTAACTTTCCTCAGGAAAGGCTTCTTCAGACTCATCATGTGATGCATGGTCAAAACCAGAAATTGCAGTATATGTGGGAGAGCCATTTTCAAGTCATCAGATTAAAACTGAGGAATAAGGATTGCAGAGGCACTCCCACATCTCAGGTGATTATCCTGCCTCTTGGATCACCGAGTATTGTGGGATAACACAATAGGGAATCTCTATCTCTCTTCCCTCCCCTTCCTACTGTTTGAAATATGATTTATTACTTTTCTTCACTGAAAAACTGTTTCCCCTGTCTTCCTAATTACTGAAAAAATGCCAAAGAAAGGGAACAGCTGTATTTCTCAAGAGAGTCTCATTTTACTACTACCAGAAAACAAAGTACCTTTTTTATCATCTTGGAGGAAGATGATTTTATTTTGCCAGAATGGAATGAGAGGATGTAAAAGAAATGGGAAAATACCTTCCTGCAAAAGCTGACAAAAATACTGTAAAATCTATACATGTCTACACAGGGTGAAAATGTAGGTTATAATTGTGTTCCTGGGAAACCAATCATTTCAAGTAGCCATGAACAAGCAAAAATAACCACTTAAAATATCCAACACAGCTAGTAGCCAATAACGATTCTTCTGCTAAACAGATTTTAAAAATGTGGTTATTCTTTCTGGTCTGCTAGTTTCATGCCCGTATGACTTCTTCACAGCAGCATATAACTTATATAATAGAAGAGATAATCAGTGGTCCCTCTCTCTTCTTTTGGTTGATTTGCATCTTGTGGATTTGGTAGATCTAGATGAAATTTTGAAGCTTAGCAGGAAAAGGGTCGTTGGTTTTACACTCATTTTTTTGATGTGGTATGGTGGGATTTAAGAAAGTATGGGTCTAGATATGAAAACATGCAGACATGAAAAGATTCTTCACTGTTAACATTTAAGTAAAGGGAATATATTTGTGCTATATGGTCATTCCATTGAAGCACAAACTTAATTTTACATGATACACCATGACTAAGCTGGCCAAAACATGTCTTTTTTGTCAAAACTGACACTTTTGTGCAGACATATAATTTTTGAGTAACTTTCCTCAGGAAAGGCTTCTTCAGACTCATCATGTGATGCATGGTCAAAACCAGAAATTGCAGTATATGTGGGAGAGCCATTTTCAAGTCATCAGATTAAAACTGAGGAATAAGGATTGCAGAGGCACTCCCACATCTCAGGTGATTATCCTGCCTCTTGGATCACCGAGTATTGTGGGATAACACAATAGGGAATCTCTATCTCTCTTCCCTCCCCTTCCTACTGTTTGAAATATGATTTATTACTTTTCTTCACTGAAAAACTGTTTCCCCTGTCTTCCTAATTACTGAAAAAATGCCAAAGAAAGGGAACAGCTGTATTTCTCAAGAGAGTCTCATTTTACTACTACCAGAAAACAAAGTACCTTTTTTATCATCTTGGAGGAAGATGATTTTATTTTGCCAGAATGGAATGAGAGGATGTAAAAGAAATGGGAAAATACCTTCCTGCAAAAGCTGACAAAAATACTGTAAAATCTATACATGTCTACACAGGGTGAAAATGTAGGTTATAATTGTGTTGTTCCTGGGACGAACGCATATCACCTGTCTTCTTTTCTTCTTTTCCTTTTTCTTTTTTTCCTTTTCCTGTGTTTTCTTCTCTTCAGTTCCTGATATTTCTAAACGTTTCCTGCTTCTAGCTGTTTCAGAGCAAGTCACTGACAAAGCCCTCAGAATAGTTAGCGTGAGAATTTTCACTTCTGTATTCTCTACTGCGTCACCTACAATCATTACCTCTGCTACAGCTGCTGCTGATACTTCTGTGCTTCGGTGAATCTTTAGTATCCCGGCTTTTTGTGCCACATTCTGACTTATTATCTTCTGTCACTAAAATATGGAGGAAACAATCATCTGAGTTCACCACTGTGTTATGGTAGAAGACTCAAGGAGTTGACCTCCATAACCTGTCAGGAATCAGAATGTTACTGAGTTGTTTACAGCTAACATAAACAATACTAAACAGTGTTCAACTATATTAAACGATGCTAAGAAATACTAAGTTACCTTTCAAAAAAAAAAGTAATTACTCTTTAACTCTGTGCTGGTTTTGGCTGGGATAGAGTTAGTTTTCTTCACAGTAGCTGGTATGGGGCTATGCTTTGGATTTGTGCTGGCAAGTGTTGATCTGTTGGCAACAGAGATGTTTTGGCTATTGCTGAGCAGGGCTTACACAAAGTCAAGGCCTTTTCTGCTCCTCACCCCACCCCACCAGCGAGTAGGCTGGGGGTGTACAAG